AAAAAAGGCTACGAACTTGACGAAAACAAAATTTTATCGTCTAATGTTCATATTATTATTAAAGAGGAAAGATCAAAGTATTTTGGGGGTATTTTTTTACATTTTTAATCATTCCTAGCACGTCTGAAATTTTCATTAGATATATTGTTTTTTTTTGGTCAAAAAAAAGGGCAGATAATCATTTTCAATCAATTTTTCGATTTGATAAAAAAGATTAAAATCTTACTTTGATATTCTTTTAAAAGTCAATTATCATTTTTTCAAAACTGATTTTAATAAAAACAGAAATTATACTGTTTATTTAAAATATTTTGAACCAAGCTTAACTTAGCTTCTGCGCCGAAAAAATGTAATTTGAAAATAAAACAAAGCAGGTCATAACCTTCGTCGCTTGACGATTGATGAAAGGCACATTCATGACGTTTAGATAATTTACGGGAGGAGAATTCTTTCTACGGATGGAAGGAAGTGAAATTATTTAAGTGAACAAATTATTTACCTTGTTACTTTTAAGGAAAACTTTCAGCGCTCTAATTTTTTATTTTTTATTTTATTTTATTTTTTTTTTGTACTTAGCTTTCATTTTTACGTTTACGATGCTTTATGGAAAATATAAAGAAATTAAAAATAAGACTGTTAATAGTGAGATTAAATTTCATAAGAAAAAAGGTATCTAATTAATTTAGGTACCTTTCTTATGAAAAATTTTATCAGAAGTGTACATAAAATACTATAATTTTATGTACATTTATTATATTTTACTGTGTTATTTGTATTTCCATTCATTTTATTATTAATTTTGATATTTCATTTATGGAAAAATGTCATAACTGAGATTAATATAAAAATAAGATCATATAAATTAAAGTTTAGCAGTAGTTAAATTTCATAAGATGATACTGTTACTTGTAGGTATCCTTCTCAGTTGAAATATAAAACTCAAATTAACTTCTCCATACATGTTTTGCAAAAGTAAAGGGCTTAACAGCGGAGAACAATGCTGAACTCAAATAATGCAACTAAATTGTATTCTGGTTGGTCTTCCGTACTTGATAATTACTGTCTGACTATAAACACAAAAATTACATTTCTTAATTACCATGGCTAATCTGATTGGTCCAAATTATACAATTTTCAAAGCTCACATGGACATTTTGAAAGGTTGATGTTGCTTTTAACTAATGTTAAAATATTTTTTATAATTCAATTTAAACATTTTTTTAAAAATCTTTTTTAAAATTAAAGAAATAAGAAATAATTGTATTAAAATTCAATTTTCATTGAAAAAATTTTTTGCTTTCAGAAAATATTGTCCATATTCATAAAAAACAAATTAAAACAAATAAAAGCATTTGAAACTAAATAATATATTTGTTTTATTGAGTTTTGTATGTTACAATTCACAGCTGATTTTCAGGTACATTGGCCAAAAAAAAAACAAAAAAAAAACATGATTTGCATTCTTCAAAGCCTTGTGCTTTTAACTATTGTAATCACTAAAACCGATGGTCTCGAATTTCTAGAGTTTTTCATAAAATTAGTTATGGGGTGTTAATAAATATAAAAAAAAAAAAAATATTTCTGCCATGACTTTAATAAAAAAAACATATTTATAATAATTTCGATCATCTGTGAATAGTTTCTGAAAGTTTCATTAACATCTGACAATTATTTTTATTTTTGCAAGATTTTCCAAATTAATGTGTGTAAATACAAAAAAAACGCTAAAAATTATCTATGTTATTTACTACCCTTTGTTGCGACAAAGAGAAACAAGGTTTTTTAAATCAGAATTTAGAATATTCTAAAAAGATGGAAAAATGTTTTTAAAATAATTAAAAAAAAATTTAGTCTATCCTCTTCATAAAAAAATATGCATTTTGACGATAAAATTTTGTTTTCATAAACTTTGGCATCTTTTTCATCAGACTATGCTCTATGTTTTAGCGATTCCGTGGAGTGACTTAGGTTAAAAAACCCAGGTTGTTTATGTGTATGTGTGTGTGTGTGTGTTCCTTTATATATGGGATTGGATTTCTTACATTTTTCAGCCGATAAAACAAACATTCACTTTTTTTTTTCAGCAGGTAGTATTTTTATTGTCTTTTTTTTTCTTTATTTACATTCAGAATGCTTTAAAATTCCATTTACAAGACAATTGTTTATAATAAAATTCTATTCACCAATCGATAGACTCATAACGATTGTAAACAATGTTTTTGTTTGAATTTGGGTTTGACCAATTCGTAAAAAAAAAAAAAAAAACTAATTAAGACATGCATATCCGTCAACTTTAAACAATAATCTTTGTCAATTTTATTTTTCAGTCTTTATGATGGTCGATACTTGATCTATCTCTTACTGTTACATCCCCGGGCAATGCCGGGCTCTACTGCTAGTATATATATATATATATATATATATATATATATGTGTGTGTGTGTGTGTGTATATATGTAGGCAGCAAATATTCAAACAGGTTTTGTTGAATAATATAGACATACTATCAGCAGAGCCCGGCGTTGCCCAGGGATGTAACAGTAAGAGATAGATGAAGTATCGACCATCATAAAGACTGAAAAATAAAATTGACAAAGATTATTGTTTAAGGTTGACGGACACACAAGTCTTAATTAGTTTTTTTGTTTGTTTTTTGGGTTTTTTTTTACGAATTGGTCAAACCCAAACTCTAACAAAAACATTGTTTTTCAATCGTTATGAGTCTACCGATTGAATAGAATTTTATTATAAACAATTGTCTTGTAAATGGAATTTTTAAAGCATTCTGAATGTAAAAATAAAGAAAAAAAGTGTGCAAGACAATAAGAAACACTACCTGCCAAAAAAAAGTGAAGTTTTGTTGAAATCGGTTGAAAAATGTATGAAATCCGATCCCATATATAAACGAACACAGACACACACGCACACAAACAACCTGGGTTTTATAATAAGTATAACTCGATATGAGTTGTCCCCTTTTCATTCTCACGATGACTCTTAATTGTGTTTTCAAATTGATTTTGTGCAAAAACAATTGTGTTTTCCAATTTTTGGTGCTGTCAGAACCACCGCAAGGTAATTTTACGTAGTCCTGTGAAGTTTTGTTGAAATCGGTTGAAAAATGTAGGAAATCCGATCCAATATATAAACATACAGACACACACACACACAATCTGCATTTTATAATAAGTAAGATTATGTCTATTTATTTTTGTACTGATCCTTTTAAAGTATGTTAAAAAATTATACGTAAGCCTTTAGGTATTGATGTAGATATTTACTTATGCTCTGCTTAATTTGTCAAAAATACTATAATAATGGACCACACAGAAAGGAGCAAATTCACTCGAAATAGTTGATAATGAACTTTACTTTATGGCAGGATGTCTAATGTAACTCTGTGTTTCTATTAGTTTACTTTTTTCTATTAGATTTAGTTCACATTTTTCTTATTTACTTCATATCAATTTTCACTGATGCAGCAAGATTTTCCAATTATTTAATATTCAATACAATATTATTACTACTATAGACATTTCTGTACATTATTTACATAGAGTTTGAGTTCCAGATACATATCTAATAATGTTGATTGATGTATTAACCTCAAATTCTTAAAATAACTATAAAAAAACTGTTGATTTCACACAAATGTATACACACACACACACACACACACACACACACACACATATATATATATATATATATATATATATATATATAAAATTTGTCACTTAGCTGATGTATTCAGCAGCTTGACTCCAGAGTCTCCTAAATGTAATCATTCAGTCCACTCATCAGGAGTTCTCAGCAACTGATTACATATTTTCTCATTTTTCCTATTTTTATACCAAGTTAAAGAATAATTTATGCACTAGCTATTGGTGTTAGGTTAATTTTTTTTTTCTTATTTTGCATGTTTATCTACATGTGTGTGTATGTGTCAAATGTGTTTATTTCTCTCTCTCTCTCTATATATATATATATATATATATATATATATATATATAGTGTACTTACTGGTTAAGCAGATTTCTTGTGCACATATCTTGTCAAGTAGTGTTCATGTATATAATGTATATGTGTGTAAGTTTATTATAATTCTAGTTTGTCTGTGTGGGATTCAGATGATAATGTATGTTCGTGTGTCTCTAGTAGGCACCTTTATCAGTTGTCTGCATGTTCATTTTTTGAACCTCTCACAAAATGTTCCCAACTCAACATGCCAACAACCACCAAACATAAATAAAAATACCAGCTAGACATACATGTACACAAATGAATATACATTATCATTTGAATCCTGTATAGACAAACTAGAATTATGTTACACTTATACACATAAATTATACACACAAACACTGTTTAACAAGACAGATACACATGAAGTCAGCTTAACCAATGAAAATCAAACAATGCAGAAATTAAAAATACCAGGATTTTCTCTTTCTTTCCTTTTCTTTTTCATATTTCATTCTCTTATGAAGCTTTAATAAAAGTGAAAGATGTTAGATTTAAACAAACATTTCTTATTTGTTCCATATCCAATCATAGGCAGCAATTGTTTCTGCAAAAACTTCTTATTAATGTGTACAGACATTTTGTGTCTATTGAGTTTGTCGAGCTTCCTTTCCAAATTATATATGTGTTGAAACCTGACTAATGCATGAAATAATAATGCAACACAAAATGTACTGAGAACAAAATGTATTGAAACAAGAAAGTGTACACAATATTTACATATAGTCTTTTGTATATTCCTGGGAAGACCGTTCCTGGGGAATGTGTTGACTTAGTCGCAGTCGGGCAAAGTCTCTGGATTGAATCTCTTGATTCCTCTCCTCTCTTCCCAGTACCAACCATATTTATATGGTCGGTACTCCACTATGCAAATTAGGTGGATCCTACCACAACAATATGTATATTGTGTGTGCCTATGCTATTGTATGACAAATTTTTTACAAAATGTGTAACAACTTGTTTATTTCTCTTGGCAGGTTTTGTCATCAGTTCGGCACAAAGTCGATCACTATTCATGTGCAATTCCTAACTTTGCTCAGCTGGTAGCAAAGGCACGACAGTCTATGAATTTAAGAATTTGTATGTACTCAAATGAACAGGATGGGAAGGTGTCCTTGCCTCGAAACACATCTTCTCCCGGTCTTTTGCCAAAGAGCAAATCAGCTGAATATTGTTACACTTCCCACAAAGGTAAGATTAACATAAATTGATCCTTATTTCATATAGTATTCTATCCCACCTCTTTACACATGAATATCTTTGTTGCTTTTACTAAAACATTTTTGATCAATACATTCTACTGTTTTCCTAATAATGTTTGAATCTCTGAAATTAAGTATTTAGTTCTTTATTCCAATTATCATTTAGATTAATATATTTATTTTCAGCACAGCATTTTCAAAATCTCATTAATCTTTCTTAATCCAAATGTATTGAATAATTGTGTTTTTATTAACTTGTTTTTAATTGGTGAAAAATACTATTAGTGCAATTCATACTATTGTCTGAAGAAACTTGTTATTGATAGATTAGTTAATTTTATTGTTTGAAGACATGTAGGATAGATCAATTAATTTTTAACAAAATTAGATGTATGATTTCATTGAGTTGTAGAAAAAATTCTCTCTATTCTCTGGGTGAAGTGATATTACTTTTACTGTGGTATCATAAAAAGGTTGTTACCAGTATTATTTAAATATTCAGTATTTACAGTATTATCAGAAAAAAAATTGTTAACAGTTTTATTCAAATATGCAGTATCAATTTGCAGTGATATCATAAAATATTACCAGTGTTATTTAAATATGCGGCATCATCATACTTGATGTGGTATCATAAAATCTATTGTCATCAATATTGTTTTAATATACAATATCTTATTTGCTATATCATAAAAAATTGTTACCAGTATTATTTAAATATGCTGTATTATGTTTGCTGTGGTATCATAGATATTTTTGCCAGTATTATTTAAATATGTGGTATCATATTTTCTGAGATATAAAAAAAAATAGTCATCAATATTTTTTAAATATGCTGTATTATATTTGCTGCAGTATCATAGTGTTGCTAGTGTTATTTAAATGTGTGGTATCATATTTACAGTGATATCTCAAAAATGATTGTTACCAATATTGTTTAAATATCATAAAAGACTGTTACCATATTATATAAATATGTTGTATCAGAAAATGTACTCACCAAAAATTTTGTGAAAAGAACAACGATCATGTTGAAGATACAAGTCCCCTAAAACATTGAAAGTTAGCAATATTTTGTTCCAGACATTTGGGCAGACTTAAAGGCTCAAGATTATGCTGATTAAGTAATTGTGATCAAGATAGACATCTAAAAGAATCAACAATACCTCTCACGTTTGTCAGAAAATTAATTAATCTTTAAATATGTCATGGCGAATATTCTTAAAAATATTCCAAAGAAATATTTTCACTTTTTATCTTAACTAAAATGACAATACATGTAAGTGCTTGCTGCACTTTCTTTTAGGTAGAATTTTTCTCATTTTAGTTTCAGTATTTGTATCAATACTATGTGGAAGTACCTTTGCATAAATAAAGTTCATGAAAATAAATATATACTATTTTTTACTTCCTTCATATCATTTGTAAAAGTAATATTTACTTGATAAAATCCAAAGAAGAATCTGCAATATTATTGGTCCTGATCTGGTGGCTCAGCTTCAATCACTTACCCACTGCCATAAAGTTGCCTCCCTTTTCTATAAATACTTTCATGGTAATTGTTCAGATGAATTCTTTGCTATAGTGCCTTGACTTTTGAATTTAAGCACAGTACTAGACTGGTGTTAAGATCTCATCAATTTACAGTCGAGATGTAGCCATAAGTTCTATGCTAACAATTTCTTTTCTCGCACTTCTCACTTGGGGAACTCCCTTCTGTCTCCAAGCTTTCCAACCAACTTTAATCTGAAAAACTGTAAATGCAATGTCAATCAGTATCTACTGATCTCCTAATTACTCTTTTCTCTTTTTGCTCATTGTTAATATTTCTGTTCCTAATTTTTCCACACCCTGTAACCTCTTGTGTCTTAGTGGCTTTACCACCTTGCATGGGTTGATTATGATTCATAAAAATAGAAAAAGCAAAATAGAATTAGTTTTAAAAAAGTAAGCAAAAGTAGATAATTTTAGGATGATCTAAATATATTTAAAAATATAAACAGAATCAAGGAGACTTGATTGTTCATCAAGTTGGAACAATAATATTTTTCAGAGTTGCTTTCATCTTTTCTATATGTAGATATTGTTTTTAAGCCTGATGGCAATAAACATGTAAATGTTAATAAAAATAAAGAGAATTGTTTGTTAATAAAATATTGATTAACTACATAAATATTTTTCAGAGTTGCATTTATCCTTTCTACATTTTTATGTCTAAACATTTTTTTTGATGGCTAAGCATTTTGCAAAGCAAATTTTTATTTATATTTTGCAGGAGCTGGCAGAAAACATTCTTTCTTTCAAACATCAACAAGTAAGTTTTGAATATTTATTTTAAATTGAGATTAACATGCAACAGACATAAGTTTTAAGATTGAAAAAAAAGAAACAAATAACAAATTGCGATGTGTTGTATGTTTGAATTGGGTATAATTATCTGCCAGTGATATATAATAATATAAAATTCGTAAGTGGTAAGGATAATCCAAATAGGTCTTTTTAATATAAAATACTAAAAAGATAGATACATAAAGAGAGCTCAATGTATTTATATACAGAGCAATACGATATACATCAAGAAAGAAAAAAATCTTAACACATCATTGAAGAATTTGCTAATGAATTTATTTTAACAGATAAATTTTTTAATATATGCCTCATTAGACTGAAATTAAAAAATCAACAATTTATCTATCAAAATAAATTTATTGCCAAATTCTTCAATGATATGTTAAGTTTTTCCTTCTTGATATATATATATATATATATATATATATATATATATATATGGTTTGTCAAAAGTGTGAATCCTAGGGTTACAAATTCCCATCCATACAACTAAGTACACACACACACACACATATATATATATATATATATATATATATATATATATATATATAAAGAAACAGTAAGATATATAATCCGTGTTTTTTATAGATATTTTTTATTTTTTACAAAATAGTGCTCAATGTAAATTTATAGAGCATTAATATTATAAATTAACTGAGTTAAAATATGTTTTTTTCACTACACAGTTCTAACCAAGTTTCAAAAATGGAAGCTAAAAGTTTTGAATTTAATTTTGTAATTAAATTAATGACATTAGTTCCATTTCATCTTCAAGCGAATTTATAATATATATATATATATATGTCTGATACCATAGAACTTATAGGTAGTTTTAAAAAGACAAAACTGCATATTTTTCCCTTAAAATAGTAACCTCTTTTTATCAACACCTCATCAAAAGAATTGTTAGCAACTAATATAATGTTAACGAGAATTGTGAAGTGATAGACAAACCGGACTGAGGTGAAGAACTATGACTAAAATACAATTTAATATTTAAAAGGGGGAAAAAATCTAAAAGAGGGGAAAATAGCAAAAACCAGAATAAATATTTCGAGTGAGTTTAAAAAGGAAAATATAGACTCACAGGTTTCTCAGTAAAACAAAAAAAAAGAATGAATAATTTTCTTTCTTTCAGGACAAAGATGGTTGGTGTAATTTAATGTATACTGCCTCTTAAGTGTACAGATGCTTTGCTGACTGTACTTTGTCAAAAATGAAAAACCACAAATCTGTGTATTTATACACACAATCTGGATTATCTAAAAGGTGTTGACCTATCCTGTGCTGTTGTGTCAGACATGTATTATGGGTACTAATACCCTGTCTGATATGCCAAGTACATGTGTCATACATGTTTCAAGGCACTGATTGGTCTGTGCTGTGTAGTCAGCATATATATATATATATATATATATATGTGAAAAGTGTGTGTATATAAATATAAATAAATATATATATGTATAATTATATGCACGGTACTTATTAGAAAGCGCTCAATATCAGAGATAGAGCTAACATATTTAGTTGGATAGATGTGAGTTTGTGACCCTGGGTTTCATGCTGTAAAGCGTGAAACCCAGGGTCACAAACTCACATCTATCTAATATATATATATATATATATATATATATATATATATATATATAATGGTCAAACATTTTTGTGTGAGACACTTGGTTCACCAGTTCTTGACAGTGGTGCTTCAGCTACTGTTTATGGTATTACATGATATGAGTGTTTTCTCTAAACCATTCCTGTCCAACAACAAAAAAAAAATAAATGTCTGAGAAGGACTGAGAACTGACAACAGAAAGAAACTAAAATCACTGTTTACAGCTACTCTGCATGTATTTGCTGGCAGTATTTTTACTGATGTTCTTGATTCAGACATTCTGTTTTTATTAAGCAAAGATGACATGAAAAGTGCCAAGACATGTCTCAGTTTTGAAAATGACAGTGTCACAATGCTCATTTGGCCACTATCATATCCCTATTACCAGACCTCTACCAGATTGAGATCAGTTTATTAATCAGATACCTTTCATTATAGAAATTACTACCAAAAACAGACCAGAAAAAATTAGAATTGCAACAAAATTACATAGACAATTCCGCTATCCAAGTAGTAAAAGTTGTGTGATCTAGTTAAGAATACTGAAATAAAAGACCCTGAATTCATAAAAATTTTACAAGAACTTCCTAATTCATGTGATATCTGCATTCACTACAAAAAAGCTGGACCTAGGCCTATTGATGCGTTCTCATTAGGATCATATTTTAATGAAAACATTGCCATGGAAAAAAATATTGCATCTAATTGATCATGGTACAAGATACAATGTTGGAGTCAGGATTCCTAGTAAGGAAAGTTCTGACATTCTTAGTGCCATATTCACACACTGGATAGCATATTTTGGCACTCCAGGATCTATCCTCACTGACAATGGCATAGAGTTCAATAACCAATCATTTAGGGACATGGCACAGAACTTGTATATTGTAGTATGTACTACTGCTGCTGAAAGTCTATGGAGTAATGGTTTGAATGGATACTGGGAGAAATGGTGAAGAAAAATTTTGAAGACACAAGTTATAGTTTTGATGTAGCACTTACATGGATCATATAGGGCCCCGATTTTCCATTTCAAATTTTTCTTATTTCTGTTTCCACTTTTGGTAAATTTTGTTTTTTTTTGTTTTTACTTTTGGAAAATTTCATTTTTTCCATGAGAAAATTACAATAATATACTATAATTTTTATTAAAACTGAAAAAAAAACCCTATAAATCAAAGTTTTATTGCATATAAAGAAATAGCAAATATCTACAAATCTTTTTTTAAATGTTAAAATCCAAGTCCCAAAATAAATTATATGTAAAAATAAAAAAAATGTAACATGACTAAACAATAAAACAATGTAATATCACAGTCTTTGAGGTTGAACTTTTAATCAAAGCTTCCTTCTTTAAGAACACATTCAGAACATTTAAATTGTTTTTGTTTTTTAATTAAAAGGATTTAGATTGATTTATAGTTATTGATTCATAATATAAAAATCACACTTAAAATATCAGCAGCAAATAACTTGAATCTCAATAATAAATATTTGAATAAAGTCAAATATTTTGACTAAAATTTTAGAAAACAGTAATTAAACCATAATAACTGAATCTTTGTAACAAAATATCAAGAAAACAAATTAAACATATTAATTCAAAATTTAAAATAAAACAACTTATCCCAAGTTGAAATACTGCTCAAATTTAAAATTGCTAATTTCTCAGTGTAAGACTCACATTGTTTACTGAGTAAATGTTTATATTGAGAAAATGAACATTCATCATCTATGCTAGTAACAGGCATCCATATGACGTTATTGGCAATCTGTTCCACAAGAGAGGAAATCTGCTCTTATTTGCATTCCAAAATGATGGTATATTAAAGGGGTTTGGCAAATCATCTTGGTAATTAACATACATTTGGAATTCTTCAAGAAGATGAGTAGAAAGACATTGCAAGTCCTTGATAGCTACGAAACTGTTTAAATCATGGCCTATACAGCATAGCTGTCTAGTATCAAACAGTTGAGCTGAGTATCCAGGTATTTATTCAGTTTCAAAAAGATGTACTGAAAAAAATCTTGGAAATTTGAGATAACTCTCTCCCTCTGTTTTCTAGTTAAAACAAGATGTTCAGTTTCTAGGCCAAATGTTGATTTTGATGTACTAGTATGCAAATAAAGTTTTACATCCTCTATCATGTTATATACAACATATGCAAGCAGAGACTTAGTTTCTTCTAAGTTTGTCAATGCTGTTTTTAAACAAGTGTGGTTCTCATTTATAAAATGCAGATTTAGGCACAAATTATGGTAAGAGGCATGATGTAGGCATGATGTAGTTGACCATCATCTACTAATTCTAGAATCCTATCTACTTGCTTAAAGAATCCTTCATAAAACTGTACAAAGGAAGAGTGATATTTTGCTGCATTAAACCAGGAATTCCATCTTGTTGTCACTGGTACAGGGGGTAGTTTCCCTTGTTCCTTAGGCAAGGAACCTTCAAGACATTTTAAGTATCGCTTTTTCCATCTAGGCTTTTTAAAAAAGGCTCATTTGATGAAAGTAGTGAGCTGGGTAACATTATCAAATACTTCACCAACAAGATTTAAAATGTATGTTAAGAACAATGCATGCCAACTTTTAACAAAAACATTTGACAAAACCTTCTTATGAGCATTTTTGCAATAGGCTGCAGAATTCTCAAATGCAATATCCACAGCTCGGATGCATGCCTGACTTAAAGTTTGATGATTGCATTCTCCCAAGGTTACAACATCAATGAGAAATGACTCCCCCCAAATGCTTGCAATTACATTCAAAATGCTGTGGTCATGACAGTCAGTTGTTTTGTCTGTTATGGTGCTGACTGATTGATTAAAAAGCTTGGTTTTCAGGGCAGCAAAGTGACAAGCAAACAATTTTGGTAGACAAAGTTGTCTAACAGTTGAAACTTGGAAGAGCACTATCTTCTTTATGAATGTCTTCATTTTGTCAATTTTGTGTAGGGGAATGTCAGACAAAGTGTCTGTTTTCAAAAAATCAAGGACAAAATCATCTTGTACCTCTTTACTCTTTAACAAAGTTGTGATTGTCTTCTGTTTCAGTTGAGCCAACATTTTTGAAGACTTTTTGTCAAATGAGTTTTTGATTTGATGTGATCTTTGATTGTGTCAACCCCAAAAATGTGAAAACTATGGAGACAATTTGCAAAATAACATATTTTCTTCTGCATAAGTCGTCAGGAAATTGCTTTACTCTGGCTTTAGCACAAATTTTAGATACTGGAGTCATTTTCTTTTCTTTTAGAGGAGCAGGTCCAATTTTTAAGGTTGATTCACTATATTGACTTGATTCAGTCATCTTGGCAATTTGTTTAGATTACAAAATATAAATAAAATATGAAAAAAATAATCATTGATAGTTAATGTTATTAAAGGATTTTTTTTGTTCAATTTAAATTTGTTTACAGTGGTGAAACACTGAAGTGTGACAGTGCTCTTAGACAAGCCAGTGTTTTCATAGATGTTTTTTGAGAATTTTTTTTTTATTTCTACATTGTATAGTAGGTATATGATAGCATTTAATTTTCTTTCATATTCATAAAACAAGGTTACAAATTGTTTTGAATCTTTTACTTGTAAATTGTGTGAGGCCTTAAAGGAAATGAATTTGTTAAACTTATTAGTTTGATCTTTGTCTGTCTCTCTTCCCTCCAACAACCAAGCTGTGACCTTCTGACTTTCATCTCGTTTGCTATATACAGTTTCTTAGAAAAGTTATAAAATATTTAAAAATAGACTAGCCAACATATTCTCAGAAATTTGATGAGTTACTTTTCTTTTTTTATATAAACATTTTTGTTCTTAATTATTTTTGGGGTTTTATAAGGAAAATAACTACAAATATTTGTAAAAACAAATTTTAAAGAAATAACTATGTTATGTTATTGTTATATTTATTAAAATGTTTAACAAAATTGAAGAGACAGTTATTAAGTTTTGAAAGAATTTAAAAAAAAACTCGGAAAAAAATCAAATAATTAATTTGTTATAGATTATTGAAAATTATATTAAAAACCCAAATTCTGTTTAAGGTTAATGATTCTGTAATTCTGTCTGCAATTTCATGATTGCAGAAAATTTGTTCCCTACATAAGTGCCAAAAAATACATTTCACAATGTCCATGGTTATAATCCTAACCAACTTGTTGTTGGCAGGAATCCCATCATGCCTTCATTTCTGCATTAGAAAGTATTTCTACTAGTGAAGTTGTTGCAAACAACTTCACTAGTATGCATGCTACCAAGAAACATTTCATAGCATGTAATTCTTCAGAAAAAACTAAGATGTGCACTTCAATATCAAGTTGGAACAAATATAGTGCAAGCATACAAAAATGGTGATACTGTTCTTTATAAAAGAAATGTATGTGATAGATGGCTTAGTCCAGGAACTGTCATAGGGTGGGAGCATAAGCAGATACTCGTTAAACATGGTGGTACATATATGAGAGTGCATCCATCCCATTTAGTCCTCTGCCCTGAAGCATATCAAAGTTCTGAAGATGGCACAAGGATAGAACAGATGTCCAACACTTTACAAAAAAGTATTTATTTTTGAAGATAATGATATGGATGATGAAAGCCCAAATGAAAATGTTGAACAATGTAGACTACCAAGTAAAACTCCATCCTTAAGAAAATTGAGCTCCTGAAACCAGGACAAACTATTAGATGTAAGCTTGCCAATGATAATGACTCCAAATGGAGAAAATTAAATGTCTTAAATAGGTCAGACAAAGCAACAGACAGAAACAAACACTGAATGAATGTAGTTATGGAACAAGGTGAATATTTTTGGCTGGACATTGAACATAGAGTATCAGTGTGGCACGCAAGTGAGGTTGAGCAAACAAGAGAAAACAAAAATACTTCTTGTGATGAGGAAAATATAATGATTTTCTCTTCACTTGATGAAATGGAAAAGGCAAGAAAGAAGGAGCTCCAAACTTGGGTTGAAAATAAAGCCTACATACAAATTCCTAACCAATCTAAGATATCCACAAGATGGGTTTATACTTATAAAAGTTCTAATGGTAAACAGATTTGTAAACCCAGACTTCAGGCTTCCAGGACAAAGATACTTACAATATAAGAAATGATTCTCCCACCTGTTCTAAAGAAGGCCTAAGTATAACATTGGGATTAATGGCATCTAACTATTGGATATGTAAATTCAGGGACATAAAATCTGGGTTTATACAGAATAAACAGTCAGACTAATTGGTTTATTTGGATCCTTCAAAAGAGGCCAATGTGCCTCCAGGTTATATTTAGAAGCTCTTAAAATGTGAATATGGTCTGACTGATGCTTCAAGATTCTGGTACATGACACACAAGGATGAATTAATCAAATTAGGAATGGAAGTTTCAAAATATAACCAGGCAATATTTACGTGGCATTTTGGAAACAAACTGCAAATTGCTACCATGCTGATTATTTCTGCTTTTCAAGAACAGAAATCCTTCAAACCAGAGTTATAGACAAAATTCATCATCTATTTGAAGTCAAATTTGAAGAAGCTGCCAAATTCCAAAATATAGGATTAAACATAAAGGAAAATGTAGATAATATCAAACTAGAACAGAAAGAAGATGTAAAAAAAAGTTAACATATACCCCAGTAGAAGCAGGTGAAAATTTGAAAGACGCTATATCCACAACAGAAGTAACAGAGACATGGCAGCTGATTGGTCAACTTAATTGACTTAGCTACCCAGACCAAGTCTGATCTAAATTATGATGTTAATGCATTAAGTTCTGTGTTTAAAAAAAAAAAAAATAGTAGAATGTATAAAGCAAGCAAACAAACAAAATAGTCAAGAAAGCAAAAAAGGAAAAATCCTAGATAGACATTCCAGATTTAGGAAACCTAGAACACTTAAAAAAAAATTATTGCCTATACTTATGTCTATTTTCCCAATTTGATTGATAGTGGATCACAAGGAAGGTATAGCTGGACACTCATATTCAAGGTTACCTATCTACTAGGGTGGCTAGCCAATCCCTATTGCAGATGCTTGCTCAGATGAATTTGTGTTTATTCAATATCCACAGAACCCACCTGTAGTATATAATGCAAATATGCTGAGCAGACTTTAGTTACAGTTTCTGGGAAAGAGCGTGTTATCTAGCGTGATCAACAATTTGAACAAGGCCAGCATGGTCAAGCTCTTGGTCATTATGTCTTGTGACTTCATTCTAGCATAGCTATTGACAGCACCCAAGGGTTCTGTCTACCCAATTTCACTCACAATGTTTGGATCAACCTGTGGCATGATTTTCAGGCACTTTACAAAGGTGCTGCATGCTGGGATTGACTCCTCCAGTCTGATAACATAACAAAGTCTCCTTCCTGACAAATAGACTATGGTGAGATTTGAACCTGGATCTCATGGTCAGAATGCAAATGTTCTAACCACTCAGCTAAGTGCCCACAAGGAGGGTCTATACACCTGTTGGTAGGTAGTACCAATAGATATATGCCTATTGCTTGGCAATCAAAACATATCAAAAGAGCCGTCAAAAGTACACTAGCAGCCAAAACCTTATCCATGGTTCATGTAGTAGAAACATGTCTTTTTTTAATAGGAAATTTTAATTAAAACTATTGCAACTTGAAGATAATACTGAAAATATACAAATTATATGTAAAACTGACAATTCCTATCTCTATGATGTGGCACATTCATCAACAAAAATTTTGAATAAGAGACTTTGCATAGAAATGATTATTTTGAGAGAAATGATGGATAGAAAATAAATTGCCAAAATCTCTTGGATATTAACTGATGTACAAACTGTGGAATAACTGACAAAGAAAAAGAATACCATCATTTAAATTTTGGGGTCCATATCAGAGCATAAGGAATCTTCTGTTTAATGAATTTACATTCTCTTATATATTTTTTTGCAGATTAATATATATATATATATATATACACACACACACACACACACACACACCTGATGCTGAAAAAGAAAAATGGGAAGAACTGTTAATCTTGACAAGTTGTCCTTTTGGCGACTCTTCAACCAAAAAGAGGCTGAGGGGCTTTTTATTATGAGATGCATATGGAGAATGAAGAAGTCAAATAAAACATTCTTTTCCCATTACATATCCAAGTTTCTTTAAATTAACTTTATATATATATATATATATATATATATATATATATATATATATATATATACACAGAATATGCATTTCTGAGATGAGTTATTATTGTTCTAAGAATGACTGAAACTATTGAATTTTTAACTGGTTTTCAATTCAGAGTTGTCTTTTTCTGAACTGGTTGCCAACTAAAGCTAGTGAATCAAGTTTGCCTTGCTATTTAATCAAGAATAATGGAAGAAGATAGAGTTTTATAACTTATGATATGAAAGAGGTTTTCAATTCAGAGTTGTCTTTTTCTGAACTGGTTGCCAACTAAAGCTAGTGAATCAAGTTTGCCTTGCTATTTAATCAAGAATAATGGAAGAAGATAGGGTTTTATAACTTATGATATGAAAGAGGCAATTAACTGAAATATAATATGAAGCTATTTAATCAAGTGGAAGAAGATATTTATAACAAGAAAAAATTAAGTTGTCTTTTCTGAACTGGTTGCCAACCCAAGTTTGCCTTGCTCAAAGTATTATGATTCTGAAAATATAACAATATGTGTACAGCATCTGACCATTGATCGATAAAATTTGGACAAGTTTATTTTTATTTACATTATTTACATGCAGACTGTTGTCCTCATCTTTGTCACACTGTTTTAGATGTTGTGCCTTTTGACCTTCATTAGGTGCTTGTCAATCTGGATAAACTTCAGGGAATTTTGTATTACGTCCTTTAGTTAATCTACAGGGATAGACTGCTGACCATGTTTAGGGATTATCACATCTAGTTCTTATTTAGTAGTGCTTAGTACTAAATAACCATCCATTTCCACTGAGTTCAAGTACACATTGCCTGACCTATGAATTGAGCTCACAGTTACCATGTCACCAAATTCCACTAGGTTTTTGTCCTATAGGACAATGCTGAGTGGAAAATTTGAAGCTTTAAACTGTAACCTGGTATTTTTTCAAGAATTTTGAAGATTACAATTCATACTATACTGAATGAAATATTTTATTATTCAATTTTAATCAATTTTAAGTTTTGACTTTTGCTTAATTTTAATATGTTACTTTTATATGTATTTTATTTTATTTTTTCCAAGCCAAACCTGCAGCTGTAGGTCAGTTATTCTCCAGAATGGGTCCATCAAATGTTGACCGTTCTCGACCATCTACACTGGAGAGGATGCCTGGGGGACGTGGTTACCGATATATAAACCAGCAGTCACCAAATGAACATTTTGAAAGTAATCCTATGGACAATGCAAAGACAAGGAATGCTGTGTATTGTGCCATTGTTTTAGAGGAATTTCTAAAAGAACTAGCAGCTCTGTCCCAAGAACACTCAGTGTTGCTCTGGGAGCAGGACTATTTGTGCAGCTGACTAACAGGAGGATATAAATCATGGACAAGTTCATAGAACCACATCTACTGCTGCTTTTAATATGGATGCTGCTGTATGTTATTACTGAGTTGGACTTGTGGATTTTAAGGAAAAAAAAACGTTTTTAAAAATGAGAGAATCATTCTCTTTTTAGAGCCACATACAAAAACTGTTGTTTGTTTTTGTTTTTTTCAGGATTATTGGAATAATGGATTTTTATTTTCTTAATGAAAGGATAAAAAAGAATTTTATTTACAGTCAAGCAAAACCACCAAGTGTTACAAGAAATCATTACGAAATGAATAATTATTTTTTTGCATTTGTATTAAATATATTCAATTGATGTACAGATGTATACAAAATGCACATTATATATATATATATATATATATATATATATATATATATAATATTACCTACATATTATTCAGGAAAAATGTTAATTCTTATTCTTCTACCTAAATTTCTGACAATTTTAAACTTTTAACAGATTTTAACAGATTTTTTCAAGTTGATCATTTTATAACAAAAAATATGAAAAGAAAAATGAACAATGATTAGTGTATGGAGATCCAGTTTGGATCTGAAGATTTGGGGATCCAATGTGGTGCTCTTTCTAATGAAGAAACAGGACAGTTTTAAAAATTAAAAAAGAAAGAAATGCTTAATGATTTTAGCTTGCATTCATCTTTGGTTAATATTGGCTCAGTCTTAAGAGCCTTCAGTTGAAACAAAAATAAATGAGTAGAGAAATTCAGAATCAGTTGATAAATGATTTTTTAAAATTAAATATAGGGTTTATATATTTTTAATTTAAGAATATGTACTTTATTTTTTTTTAATTTAGGAATATAGTCTGATATTTGTTTTAAACTTAAGAATATGTTCAATGATCTTTTTTAAATTTAGAAATACAATTTGAATTCATCTTTAAATTGAAGGATATATTGAATTTAAAAAAAAAATTAATAATATTATGTATAATATTTTAAAATTTACAAACAGGCTCTATAGATTCATTTTTATAAAATTTAAGAATAGAGCCTGTATTTTTTTAATTTTAGAATATGGCCTATATATTTTTAAAATTTATAAATAAATAATATGGTCTATAATAAATTATATGGTTTATAACCTTTGATTTCATTATTTTGTATTCGAATAGCCTGCACTCTTCACAAATTTGCACTTTATCCTAATGAAGAAGCAAACCTTATGAATTTGTGGTGTTAAGAGAATTGTATTTTTCTTTATAATATAATTTCATTGGTTGGGGGCTATTTTCTGACTGAAATAGTTGCATATTTCCACACTAATGTTAGAGGTTAGTATTCAAACCTGGGTAAAAAAAAAAAAAAAATGAATGATTTTGAATACTTCTTTTCAAGTTAGACAAACTTTTTTGCTAAGTCATTCTTTCTCCTATTTTGTCTTAATATGACCTTCAATTTTACTAATAATAATAAAGATTATTTTCAGCTCTATTGGTGAAATAATACTGTTTCTATCTTTCATTTTAAAATTGATTATTTTTCAATATAGTTAAATTTCCAGTCCTCTGTGAAACATTTCTTATGTTAATAATTCCTAATACGATTAATTCACATAATTCTTATTTTTAAGTATATCATTTCACAATTTCTATCACTTTATAAAAATATTATTTTTATGAAAACTTTAAAAATAATAGTGTTATGTCCCACAATACTATTATTTTTATTTATACATTTACAGTAATAATATTTCCAGCTGTATATGTTTCCTGTATAATTTCATATAGGAATAAAGCATCTTATAAAAGTAGCTTTAAATTGTTGAAAATAAAAGAGAACTTGGTGAATATCAACAACTGATTTTGTTAAAATTTTAATTGTTTATCTATTTAGTATCTATATTAGTAATATTTTAAGTCTTATTGATTTTTTTTGTATGTACTATCTTTAATTAAAAATATTTAAATTATTGCCATTAATATCACAAAGTTACTCTGCATTTTAACTATTCACTTAATATAGATAGATTTGTGAGATATAAACAGTTGTTTCCAAGCATAAAGACTATTCTCAGGTCATACCTATAAAATAAGAAATTCATTCATTCTTCTTTCCTCTCAATATCTATGCTTGGTCTGCTGATTGTGTTATCTGAGCATATTGTATATAGCTTCTTTCAATGTCTATTTTCTCCAATATTACTCCTTGTCTCTTATTTTAACTTTTAAAGGCTGATGGATCCTACTTTACCTTTCATTTCACTGGACATGTGAATATGAACACTTAATTTATCTTTTAGTGAAAACTTCATCACCCATATAGCTACACACACACATCATCATTGTGGCTTTGTAAATAAAGTGTTTTCCATAATTGTACAGGTCATGCCACATTGTTTTAAAGAGACAAGTGAATATCTTTCAGGCCTGTACTAGTAATCTAAGTGTGTGTGCATTATGGCTTCCATAAACCAGGAGTTTACATGCAATGGCAAAATAAGCTGGAACATTGGTAGTAATGCCCTATGGTTATAGATTCTTTGTCTATGACCAAGTGAAAAGAAGTATTCAGCTCATATATACATATGATAAAAACATAACAATTAATACTGAGTGAAAAGTCAATTACTCAAAAAATTTAGTGTTAAAATATCTTTTAATCTTAATTATTACATTTAAAAATAAAACTATTTTAAGGAGGGCTGGGAGAATTTAACATTCATAGGACATATTTAAGGCAAGGATTACAGAGAAACTATCTAACAAGGATTCAGAAGGATATTAAAAAGACAAATATTGCTGAAAGCTACAATGGTTAGGGTGTTGTGGAGAGACATGGCTGCCCATGTCCTGAAGAGACACAGCACATAAAAGAAGAAAAATACTTAATTGTCACAAAAACATGAGTAGTTTGTTTATACCAGTATATTCGTAAACAAATTTATTCATTATAGGAAAACTTTTGACACTAAGTCAAATATTTATTTTCAGTTGAATGAATCAGATATTATGTCCTTTATAATATAGTATCTTTCTTGAACAGGGTCATAAGCTGGTTTTTCTAATAATATATTTCTTAAAAAAGAATAGCTTTCAAAATAACAATTGTTGTACCAGTTCCAATATTTTTTTAATCATTTCACCTCAAGTAGGGCAATAAAGCCACTAAGATGCAAAGTGTTAATGAGATTGAAAGAAACAGGAAGGACAACAAAAAAAAATAGCATTCAAAGAGACAGAAGATGATAATTGACATTACATTTAAATTTTTGTAGTTGCCAGGAATCTGGAAAAGAGTTCCACAAGTGAGCAGTATGAGAGAGAAACTATTAGCATAGAACTAGCAACTTCAACAGTGAAATGAGGAGACCTAACTACCAATCTCGTATTATGCTTAAATTTGTGACATCATGGTACCAACAAGGAAAATTCATCAGAATAATTACCGTGAAAATAACGATAGAAGACACAAAGGTAAGCTACTTTACAGCAATAGGAAAGTAACTGGAGCTGAGATGCCAGGTCAGAACCGATAATGTTGCCAATTCTTCTTTGGATCTTGTCAAGAATTGTCTATATATAAAGCAGAAGCATCAGACCAGATGTAGCAGCAATATTTGATGCACAGATGGATTGTAGATTTATAAAATCGCAATATAGATTCTGTTAAAAAAATTGTCAAGCATCACATAAACTGACTTTCCTACCAGCAGACTTAGCAATTGATATAAAATCATTTGACATTTGAGCATTTTTATGTAGATGTTTAAATGATAGTGTAGCATACAGCTGTTATAAATTGTGGACATGTTTTGCACTATCATAATTTTAGTTAGTCTCTTGATATTTATTATATTTAGTATTGTAGAAGGCTAATAACTAAATATTTACTGAATCTATATTAGTCCAGTACAATACTTATATAAAGAGTAATTAACTATAATATTAATAATCTATTAGTCTAGCTTTCTAAATGTTACTCAATATGAGGTATTATGTAATTTAGCAAGGTTAGTAGAAAGCTGTAATTCTATGGCAGCTAGTGAGGATCAAAATCACTACAGTAGAACTTAATAAACATTGTTGCATAATGAACTCTCATACTTACTGGGATTAACTTCAACTTTGTATGGCACAAGGGCACAAGTATAATGCAATTAGTGAAACACAAATTTGAAATAATTGTAATAGTGTGTAAGGCATACTTACCATTGCTGAATGGTAAGATACTTAAAAGTATAAACATATACAAAAATATATTAGAATTAAGTATGCTTTTCCTGACAATGGAATCAAATTCTTCATTTCCTGTGTGGCTGTCAAAGATACCTAGCATTGTATTTTCAAGTCCTGAGTTGCATAAAGCTTCTATAATAGGACACACTTGATAATGATAACCTATGAGTGGGGAAAATCAAAGTTTATGGGTTGGGCAGAGTAAAAGCAACAAAACACTTAAACAGAAAGGAAGACAAGAGAGAAACAAAAGAAATGTTGACAAATGAGAGAAAGTAGAGAGACAAAGGTAAAAGGTGGGTGACAAGAAATAAGAAGATTGTTAAAGGAAAACCTTTTAATAGCTATATTAATATATAATTTATATATCATATATATCAAGCAGTAGCAGATTGACAATATTTCTCTCTCATATATATATATATATATATATATATATATATATATATATGATAGAGTTTTAAAGTATGTTATATTTATGGGTTAAGTGGTCAATATCAGGGACAGAATGTATGTAAATATAAAAGTGAACATTGAAAACTCTCAGAGGCAACAGTCTGTTTCATGCTAAACACAATCATCAGGCCTGATGACTGCATTTAGCATGAAACACTATCACATTGTTCACTTATATATACACACAAACACAAGTAGTAAAAATAAAAGCTGAAAGCTTAAAATATGGACTAAACTGAAGGCTCACATGACAACTAATTGTTTTATTTATAAAATGAAAAACATAAAAGATGAACGTCACATACAATAGTAAATG